CTCTCTCTCTCTCTCTCTCTCTCTCTCTCTCTCTCTCTCTCTCACACACACACACACACACACACATATTAACCATGCCGTTTCTGTATTTAAATCCTTTCTAACCATTGCCCCTTCCATCTCTAAATATTCGTTATAAACATGCCTTTCCACTCTCAAACTCCAAATTGTGCCATTTCTCTCTCAAACTCCTTTACATGTCAAAATGCATCATTTCTCTATCTAACTGTTTTCTCGCTATAAGTGTGTCAATGTGCCCTTTCTCTCTCTATCTCCGCTAACCCAGCCATTTCTCTAATTAGTCTATGTAATCATGCCTTTTCTCTCTAGTCATACCCTTTATCTCTCTCTCTTTTTAAGTCCTCTCGATCTCTCTAACCATGCATTTTCTCTATCTAACTCCCTATAACTCCTTTCTCTCTCTAACCATTCTCTTTCCCTCTCTAACTCTTCTCTAACAGCACTCTTCCTCATTAACTCCTTTCTTTCACTAACCACAAATCCTCCCTCTAATCTTTCCCTTTCTCTCTCTAACTCCATTCTCGAATGTGCCCTTTCTCTCTCTAGCTCTTACTTCTATAACCATGTTCTTTTTCTCTTTAAGTCCTCTCTCTAAACATGCATCTATATAACTCCTTTCTCTATGCCCTTTCGCCAACTAATTGTGGCTTTTTTCTCTCTTCCCTTGTCCTTGCTCTCTAACCATGTGCTCTGTGTATGTGTGTGTGTGTGTGAAGCCTTGAAGCCCAATCTCTATGAAGTTTTGTCAGATCGTGGTGAAGCCCTATCTCTGTATTCATGAACTTCTAGACAGGTTATCAAACAAGCAAAACTTCAAAATATCAATATTTCTAGCCAAAGTTCTAGAAACTTCCAGGTTCTAGCAAATCCCCGACTTCCAATAACCCAACAGGCACCAAGGTGTTGGAGAACTTCCCAAGGGACATGGAGTAGTATTTTGTGGTTCCTTGTGCCCCTGGGAAGATCAAGTAAGCATGTGTATAGTGTACCTAACCGGTGGTGCCAAACACTGGTGGAGGATGCGAGTCAAGGACACTTTAAGGCCCAAGGTAAGCACTAGCTTGAAACAATAGCGGGATAAAGATTATTTACTGCCAATACAGCCTAGTTGAACGCATTAGGTTCAACAAATACTGCAAAAGACTGGTTTGGTGACGAAGTATGTGAAGAATTTCACATCTCTCAAGCAGACATATGGACCTTGACCCAGGAAGATCGGTTGTTCTTACTTCATGTCCACACTTCAAGGTTGAGCCCAAGCCTAGCTGAGGTGAGGATTGGCCTTAAAGGTCTACTTGCGTGGGGCCTAGACCTGCAAAGGGGGCAAACAAAGAGAGAGGCACCCTAAAAGGCCTTCTCAGCCTCCTCCATTTGCAAGGGAGCCCACTAGGTGAGGGACACAGCCCACAAAAGCAGCCCCTCAATGTAGTTCAACCAGTTGAGGAGGATAAGGGTGTACAGCACAAGCTTGCTCAAGGCAACTATTGAACACAATGCAGCTGGAAATGTGATTTCCAGGCTTGGGAGGGCCGAGGCCAAAGATTTTTGAGGCAGTCGAGTCATGGGAGTCAAGTGATGACTTTAACCGTGCCACCACGTAGAGGATGTTAGCGAGGAGGGTGGACAAGCGGCCAAGTTCGTCTTGCTCCCTGCTCCATGGCAGATAAGGCATCCTGAACCAATGAGGGGTACAATACTAGGACACATCCAGGCACAAGACTATGGATGTGATGGTTTAGACAGATGGTCAAGTATATGGGACTTGGTGGATCACCAAACCAATAGGCTTAGGCTTGATGATCAAACCATTACAGACATGACCTGCTAGGACATGGGCATGGTCCACGTGCAAGGCATGGTCCACATGCAAGAGGCTTACCTGACCATAAAACTGGACAAGCTTGTCAACCTAGTGATCAAGTGTGGAGTTTGAATTCAAAATGTGATGGTTTAGACAGATGGTCAAGCATATGGGACTTGATCATCAAACCAATAGGCTTAGGCTTCATGATCAAACCATTAGAGACATGACCTGCTAGGACATGGGCATGGTCCACGTGCAAGAGCCTTACCTGACCATAAAACTGGACGAGTGTGTCAACCTAGTGGTCAAGTGTGGAGTTTGAATTCAAAATGTGTAATCACGCCAAACATGGGCTTGTGTATCTGCCATAGGCCATGTAAGAGAGTGTGAATGCACATGTAGTGGACCTGGGTGGGTATTTACAGCCAAGTAATGACCATGCTGTTTGAATTGGCATGCATGGGCAGTAATGACTATGCAGTGGGTTATCAAACCATTATCCCCACTTGCACCCCCTCCCACCAATAACGATCCATGAGTGACAAGTCATTGATGATGAGGCTTGGGCTGATCTACCTGCGCCACCAAGTGGTAGCAATAATGATGTTCGAAGCCTTAATGGCCACATAACGATGGGTGACGATGTGATTATCTAGGTGCATACTAAGGGCCAAATTAACTACAGTGGTTGGAAGAGAGAGCAGAATCTTGGGATTGACTCATGGTTCAAGCTCCATACATTGGGAGAGTTGTTTAGCAAGCTTCCAGATATGTATATAAATATATATATATATATATATAGGGTGTAGTTTGTATATGGATGCATCCGTAGGTGTAGAGGTAAGGTGCACCTTCAAAACTTTTATCATGGAATATAATTTTGATGTAAAATGTTCTTAGGATTATCTCAAAATCCATTTTTATATCTAATTATAAAATTTTAAATTTCAAAAATGGTTAAAATCAAGTAGATCTATAAACATATGAAAATCTTGAATATGGACGGTGTAGATAATATGTTGTAAAATGCACTATTTCTGAGACTTAAAATCTTTTTATTTTTTATGGTCATACATCCCAATGTCGAGATGATCAATCAAAGGGTTTTTTCAACATTAAAACAAACTTTTCCAATAGATATTTTTGGTGCATCCGTAGCTATAGAGGTAAGGTTGCAACCA